CCAAATTTTCTATATATACTTCAGCCTAAACAACTTATGGCAAAAAATTGAATGCAGAAGTGGGTATGAGAATCCAGCTGTCATCTATTAAGCTAGACATTAAACAGATTTGCAAAATCTCTTTGTAAAACATGCCACTCATCTGGTAAAGAAAAAAAATAATCAATGACACACACTAAATATGGTAGGGCAGACTTTTTTCAGGACCATCAAGATAGGTATAGGGACCACCACAATGCTGTTTTGCAGTCGGGGAGAGACATTGGGCTCAACTCCAAATACAGCATGGGCAAGTGGGAAGGTTACAGCCAAGGAGCAGGGTGGGGGTCAGTGGATGGAAAATTACTAAGATGAAACATCAGGGGTAAAGGAGATTCTGGCTAAACTGACCTAAAAGGATCATTACTTAAAGGCAGATCAGGGTGATCAGAAATCACCTGAAGGACGGTGGAGAATGAGGGACCAGATCAGGTATCAAGAGTGATCAGATTTGGAGGACAGGGAACTCACTGAACTGACTTAGCAGGGTTCTTGCTAAAACTGGATTTTATAAGGAAGTGCACAGATGAACCTGGAAGGAGGTTCAATAGACTGATTAAAGTTGGGTCAAGAGGATACTCTTTGTCTCTTCTCACACTTTTTGTTGCCATTGGAAAATAGTTATTTTTCATAAATATTTTAAAATTTTGTCTTAATTTCTAAGATGTTAAATACTCATAGATATAATACCCATAAAATAAAGCATTTTGGGGTACTCAATTTTAAAAAGTATAAAAGAATCCTGAGGTCAAAATGTTTGAGAACCGTTTGTGTAGAATCACCATCATTTTGTTGTGTTCACAGATCACAGGTCAGGAATTTGGACAGGACCAGCCGGAAGGAATAGCTTTTCTCTGCTCTACCATGACCAGGGCCTCAGCTGGGTAGCCTTACACAGCTGAAGGTGACTCAAAGGCAGGCACCTGGTATCACCTGGAGACTCTTTCGCCCATGTATCTGGTGCCTTCCTTGAAATGGCTAGAAGACCGAGAGCAGCTCATGACCATTGACAGGAGCATCTCCACATAGCCTCTCCATGTTACAGCATAGCTGCTGGTTTCCAAGGGGGAAGCATACCAAAAGGGAGCATGCCAAGATAACCAGGAGGGAACTGCATGGCCTTTTATGGCCCAGCTTAGGAAGTCACATCACTTATCATGTACTCCTTTAGGAGAAACAGTCAAAAGTTTGCCTAGATTCAAGGGGAAGGAACAGTGTCAAAGAATTTTGGGGCCATATTTTAAAACCATCACAGCCTGCCACAAATTGTTTACATATCTCCCACATATACAGTCACTGCCTCCTAAAACCATGCCAAAATCTCATGCCTGTAGAATCAGACTTAGCTTCTATGTCCAGGATCTTGATATCTAAATCTGGCCCAATCTGGAAAAGAGTGCTTAGGTTTGTTTTCTTGAGTATTACTCTCAAGTTGAAGATTTTGAACTAAAGAGACAAGTTATCTACTCCCTACACACCCAACATATAATTGTGAGACAAGGACAGGATAATCAGAATAGACATTCATATTAAAAAAAGGAGTGGGGTAGGAGGAATGGGACGTCCACAGCAGACAATGATCCATAGCGATTTTGAAATTTAGGCAGGAACATCCTGCCTGTTCCTTGTTTGAGGAGCAGTACTGCTCCATAGTAATGATTCTCTGGGGAGTTCTGCTACCTGAATCATACATGCTTTTCCATAGAAGATATGCCATTTATTTATTTATTTATTTATTTTTGTGAGGAAGATCAGCCCTGAACTAACATCTGTGCTAACCCTCCTCTTTTTTGCTGAGGAAGACTGGCTCTGAGCTAACATCTATTGCCAATCCTCCTCCTTTTTTTTTTTTTTTCCTCCCTAAAGCCCCAGTAGATAGTTGTATGTCATAGTACATCCTTCTAGTTGCTGTATGTGGGACACGGCCTCAGCATGGCTGGAGAAGTGGTGCATTGGTGCGCGCCCGGGATCCGAACCCAGGCTGCCAGTAGCAGAGCGTGTGCACTTAACCGCTAAGCCATGGGGCCAGCCCAGATATGCCATATTTTTAACTGATTAGTTTTATAGACCTATTTCATCTTGCTCACTTCCACAGCTTGGGGGTTCAAAGGTCTCTATTTACTTTTTTTAAGAGTTTTTTTTAGAGCAGTTTTAGGTTCACAGCAAAACTGAGCAGAAGGCACAGAGATTTCCCATATGCCGCTGCCCCCATACCTGCATAACCTCCCCCTCTATGAACATCTCTCACCAGAGTGGCAAATTTGTTAAAACTGATGAACCTACAATGACACATCATTATCACCTGAAGTCCATAGTTTACATTAGGGTTCACTCTTGATGTACAAATTCTATGGTTTGGACAAATATATAATGACAAATATCCACCATTATAGTGTCATACAGGGTATTTTCACTGCCCATCCTCTGCTCCACCTATTCATCCTTCCACCCACCCCCTCCCCCAACCCCTGGCAACCATTTATCTCCATAGTTTTGCATTTTCCAGAATGTCATATAGTTGGAATCATACGGTATGTACCCTGTCCAAATTGGCTTCTTTCACTTGGTAGTATGCATTTAAGCCTCTATAAACATCCACATGCAAAAAACATGTACGTGCAGGTTTTTGTGTGGACATAAGTTTTAAACTTCTTTGGGTAAATACCAAGGAGTGCAAATACTGGATCGTTTGGTAAGAGTATCTTTAGTTCTGTAAGAAACCGCCAAAGTGGCTGTACAATTTTGTATTCCCACCAACAAAAAATGAGATTTTCTTTTGCTCCACATTTTCACCAGCATTTGGCATGGTCAGTGTTCTGGATTTTGGCCACTGTAATAGGTCTATAGTGGTATCTTATTGTTGTTTTAACTTCCATTTCCTTGATGACATATGATGTGGAAGATCTTTTCATATGATTATTTGCCACTTGTATATCTTTTTTGGTGAAGTGTCTGTTAAGGTCTTGGGCACATTTCTTATTCAGGCTGTTTATTTTCTTATTGAGTTTTACAGTTCTTTGTATATTTTGGGTAACAGTCTTTTAACCAGATGTGTTTTTTTCCAAGTATTTTCTGTGACTTGTCTTCTCACCCTCTTGACAATGTCTTTTGCAGAGCAGAAGTTTTTAATTTTAATTAAGTCCAGTTTATCAATTATTTATTTTATGTATCATGCCTTCAATGTTACATTTAAAAAGGTACTACCATAGGGGCCGGCCTGGTGGCATAGTGGTTAAGTCTGCGTGTTCCACTTTGGCGGCCCAGGGTTTGCCGGTTCGGATCCTGGGTGTGGACCTTCTCACTGCTCATCAAGCCATGCTGAGGTGGCATCCCAAATAGAACAACTAGAAGGATGTACAACTATGACACACAGCTATCTGCTGGGGCTTTGGAGAGAAAAAAGGCAAAAAGGAGGAAGACTGGCAACAGATGTTAGCTCAGGTCCAATCTTCCTCAAAAAAAAAAAAGGGGGTTTATTTTCTAAAAGAAAAAAAGTATTACCATACCCAAGGTCATCTAGATTTTCTCCTCTTATCTTCTAGGAGTTTTATAGTTGTGTGTTTTACACTTAGGTCTGTAATGCATTTTCAGTTAATTTTTATGAAGAGTGTAAGGTCTGTGTCTAGATTCATTCTTTCACAGGTAGATGTCCAGTTGTTCCAGCAGCATTTGCTGAAAAGAAGTGTCTTTACTCCATTCCATTGCCTTTGCTCCTTTGTCAAAGACCAGCTGACTCTATTTATATGGGTCTATTTCTGAGCTCTCTCTTCTGTTCCATTGATCAATTTGTCTATTTTTTTACCAATATCACACTGTCTTGATTAATGTAGCCTTATAGTAAGTCTTGAAGTCAAGCAGTGCCAGTCCTCCAACTTTGTTCTTTTCCTTCAATATCGTGTTGGCTAGTCTGGGTCTTTTGCCTCTCCATATAAACATTAGAATTAATTTGTTGATATCCATAAAATAAGCTGCTAGGATTTTGACTGGATTGAATTTATAGATAAAGTTGGGAAGAACTGACATCTTGACAATATTGAGTCTTTCTATCCACACACATTTATTTAGTGCTTGATTTCATTCCTCAGAGTTTTATAGTCTTCATCATATAGATCTTGCACATCTTTTGGTGTGCTAATGTAAATGGTATTGTTTTTAATTTCAAATTCTATTTGTTCATTGGTAGTATATAGGAAAATGATGATGATTTCAAGGATGTGTGTGTGCGTCAAAACTTAAATTGTACACAACAATATGTGCAGTTTATTATATAGCAATTATATTTCAATAAACCTGTTCATTAAGAAAACCAACTTCAATAATAACTCAAACCAAAGACTAACAACAAGAAAAAAGATATTTGAACAGTCACTTCACTGAAGGTACATGGATGACAAGCACATGTAAAGATGCTCAGCATCATTAATCTTTAAAACTATGGGTCTACCGTGAAAAAATACACACACAAAAAGGCAAACTTATTTAAATAAAAATTTACTTGGGTTTCTTTTCCAGTATCAATTTTCTTATATGCAATAAGTGAAAATTTGTACTCCAAAAGTTTCCCAAATTCCTTACACTTAGGTTTTATTTAAAAACTTTTTTTCTTTTTTTTTTCCCTTGCTGAGGAAGATTCACTCTGAGCTAACATCTGTGCCAATCTTCCTCTATTTTGTATGTGGGTCACTGCCACAGCATGGCTGCTGACAAGTGGTGTAGGTCCACACCTAGGAACTGAACCTGAGCTGCCAAAGCGGAGCGTGCCGAACTTTACCACTAGGCCATGGGGCTAGCCCCTTAAAAACCTTTTTATAACAAAAGTTTTTCATTAAAAAAAAACCTTTTAGGATTTTTATTTTTATAAAAATATATTTACTGAAAGCATTCTGATATTTTTTATTCATACAAAATCTTTCCAGTGTGACTTTTTACATGTACAGTAAATTAACATAGCCTTTTCCACATTCCCTACATTTCTAATTTATAGTTTCTCACTAGTGTGAATCATGTTTCCTAATGACAAAGAACAATCAAAGGCTTTCCTCTATCCATTTTACTCATGGGATCTCTCATAATGTGTGCTTTCATGCTTTCCCATAGAGGAGGATAAAAACTAAAAAAATTCCTACACTTTTTACATTCATAAGATTTTTCACACCTGTGAAATCACCGCTGAATATTAAGGTATAAGGCAGAGCTAAAGGCTTCCCACATTCCTTACAGTAAGGTTACCTCCAGTATGAATTAGTACATGTTCAGTAAGTGTGAGAAAGTACTGAAGGCTTTCCCACATTCTTTACAAGTATAAGCTTCTCTCAAGTGTGAATTCTTATACATTCAGTAAGGCATGAGGAATTACTAAGGTTTTCCCACATTCCTCATATATATGGCTTCTCCCCACTGTGAGTTCTTAAATGTCAAATAACATATGTGGATCGAGTAAAGGCTTTCCTACATTCCTTACATTCAAAAGGTGGTTCACCAGTGTGAGGTTCTTCTGTGTACTGTAAGGCCCGAGGAAATGGTGAAGACTTTCCCACATTTTTTACATTTATATGGCTTCTCTCCAGTATGTGTTCTTTTATGTTGACTAAGGTGTGAGGAATATCTAAATGCTTTCCCACATTCCTTACATTCAGAAGGTCTTTCTACACTGTGAATTCTTACATGTTGACTAAGAAATGAGGATCTAATACAGGCTTTCCCACACTGCTTACAATTACAGGGTTTTACTCCAGGGTGAGTTTGCACATGACTTTTAAAGCAAAATGAATTACTAAAGACTTTCCACATTCCTTACATTGATAAGGCTTCTTGCCAGTGTGCGTTCTCATATATACATTAAGGTGTGAGGAACTAGCAAAGGCTTTTCCACATTCCTTACATTCATAAGGCTTTTCTCCAGTGTGAGTTCTGTGTTTTATAAGACCTGAAGAATCAGTGAACACTTCCTCACATTTATTACACTCATACAGTTTTTCTCCAGTGTGAACTCGCATCTGAATATTAAGTTTTGAGACACAAGTAAACTCTCTGTCACACTTCTTACAAACATAGTGTTTCTCTCTAGTATGAAATCTTATATGTTTAGCAAGATGTGGGGATTAAGGAAAGGCTTTCTCAAATTTCTTATATTCCACAGGCATCATTCTACTGTGAGTTCTTAAATCTTGAGTAAGATATGAAGACCAAGTGAAGGTTTTCTTACATTCTTTATATTCATAGGGTTTTTCTCCATTGTGAGTTTGCATATGTACAAAAAGGCTTACAGAAGGAGAATAAACTTTCCCACATTCCTTAAGAGCATATGGTCTATCTCCATCATGAATTCTTATACATTCTCTAAGATGTGAGGAAGAAGGTAAGCCTTTCCCAGAGTCAGTGCATTTATAGGATTTCTCTTGACTATAAGTTTTCTTGTGAACCATAAGATGTGGATTTTGCCTGAAGGCTGTTTCACATTGATTACATTTAGGAGGTTTCTCTCCACTATGGTTTTCTTATGTAGATTAAGGGCAGAGTTCTTTGTGAAGGCTTTTTCACACTATTAAGCTCACAAGTTTTCTTTCTAATGTAAGTTCTCCTGTGAGTCTGAAGGTATGAGTGTTCACTCAAGGCTTCTTCACAATGGTTAAAGTTAAATGATTCCTCTCCAATGTGGTTTCTCTCTTGTTGATGAAGGGATTATTGATAAAAGTTTCCCAGCTTTATTACATTCAGAGATTCTCCCCTCTGCCTTGAACTCTTTTACATTATACAGGAAACAAATCAGTATGATTGAAGTTTTTTTGCTTTTTCTTCCACTTTCACTGCAATGCATGGTACCAGACCTGCATGCTTTCAAGCAGAATGAAGTGACCATTCTGCTAGAAAGTTCTGTTCTATTCTTTATTTCACAGGGATTCTTACAGAGTTTAGCTGATAACTGATCGAGACACATTTATCAAAAACTTCATCTGAATTACATATATGGGAATAGTTAGCTGAGTGAACACTGTGAAGAAATATATTGTGAGGGGTATTTAAAGTATCTGCCAAATTCATGCTCAGAGACTCTATAAGAAACAGCTTCTTTTTGGGTGAATAACACTAGCCTCAAATGTCTGTCATGATTATTGTGCTGCTTTTCTAGTTTATAGAATTTCCAATCTTCTACTAGTGTGGAAGGCAAGGAATTATATGTTGTGAATCTTACCATTTCCACCACATGGGATGTTTCCCCCTGGAAAATATTCTGCTGAGGTGCTGACCATTTGGTATTAAGACAAGTCTCCCAATCTGAAACAAGATAAAAAAAAATTAAGTTCTCGGAGAAATAAACTATGGAAGGAAGGTGTTAAAAATGAAGGCCGATGTGTATTTACTTTCAAACATTAACTTAAAATATATTTAAAAAGAAAAAGAAAAAAATGAAAACATAGAGATTGAGAAGTTTAGCTGTATTAAGAGTTAGGCAATGATAACGTGCTGTGGTCAAACTGGTAGGTGATTTACTAAGAAATGACTCTATAAACATTGCAACTGACAGTGAACAGAAAGCAGCATAACCAGGAAAACAAAGTTGAAAGAAATGCATAAAGAGCTAAATGCAAATGATAAATGTGAAGAAGAAATGGCACAGATCTTACTGTCAGGCCAAAAGGAAGTTTCAGAAGGCGGATGAAAAGTTAAAGAAAAAGGGAAGTTTGAGGTACCCAAGGAACCTCAGAAACCAAATGGCCTCAGCATTCTTAGAGGGAAAAAAAAAAAATCTTCAAAAGCTTCCTATTAACATTTCCAAACGGTCTGTACCTCTCATGGATTAGAGTTATTTCCCATAAAGAATCACATCTGCCTTTTCCCTCACTTTGGAGAACTCTTCCCACTGTCCTCAGCTTTCCTCTTTGTTCCACCTAAAAGATCAGACCAGGTCTGCTCTCAGAGAAAGATGATTGATGTAAGAAGAAAATGCAATGCATGGCAAATACTTCCATAAACCAGGGGCCAAGATTCTGCTCTTAAGGGATATCAAATACTGTCTGGTATAATTTAAGAAAGAACAAAATGCTCATGCCAACTCTAATGAACCAGTAAACTTTCAAATAAAGTGCAAACACACACTCTCTCTCTCTCTCATTGGACACCAAAAGGGTTGCCGATCTTTCTCCTGAAACCCAGGCTCTTGTACATACATTTTTGAAGTCCTGAGCCTTTTATCCATAGAGAAAATAAAGCCAGTGCAATGAACAGATCTTCATTTTCATGAGGAAAACACATGATGGTAAGGTCTGAGAGAGCAGAAACAATGTCTGCTCTGTTTACCACTGCATTGCCACTAATCAGCACAGAACCTAAAATACAGTCACTTTAAAAATATTTGTTCCTCAAAAAACTAAATGAAGAAATGGTATAAGCCTTACCTACTGCAACCAGATTCTTATAGTTCTCCAGCATCACATCTCTGTACAGGTTTCTCTGAGTCTGATCCAGCAAGTCCACTCCTCCTGGCTGAATTCCACAGCCATGTCCTCAAAGGTCACTGGATCCTAAACCATCACAAATATCTTGGCATCAGGCAATTGCCATCTCCCCCAATATTCACTGGAGAGAGAGGAAGAGAGATCCAATGCCTAAGCAAGGTTCCATGTTGTCCCATTACCTCCCCCAGGGCTTGACCTTCTCCTCTCTACCTGGACATATTCACTGGTGATCTCACCCAGTCACGGCTTTAAGAGTACCTCTTTCACCTGACTGAATGTATCTATCTCCCCACAACTAGATTGTGACCTTTTCTAGTCTTATTTTTCTCTACTGACAGGATTTAACACAGTCCTGAGCACATTACAGACACAATAAATGTGGGTAAATGAATGAATCATTCCTCCAGTGACAGCACAAATTCTGAGAATTGCATGTCTGCTCTCTTACTGTCTATCATAGCAAAATGACAGCACACAATCAGCATGGATGACAGTCGGACTGAATTAGTAAACACCGTCGTCCCTTGGAATCCATGGGAGACTGGTGCCAGGACCCCACCCCACCGCTCCCCCTGCCCCACCCCTCACAGCCCCTAAGGATATCAAAATCCATGGATGCTCAAGTTCCTTATATAAAATGGCATGGTATTTGCATATGGCCTACACACATCCTCCCGTGTACTTTAAATCATCTGCAGATTACCTATAATACCTAATACAATGTATATGCTATGTAAATAGCTGTTAAACTGTATTTTTAGGAAATGATGGCAAGAAAAAACGTATTCTTGAGGCTGTAGCACTTTACATAGCAAGCCATCCCTTACTAGCCTTAAACCCCTTGCTCTGGCTCTCCTCAACTCCCTCACAGTAGTGCTCATAGAGACTAAGTGCTTCTCCACTCATAATTTTGCCATCAACAGGGATATGCTTCTGTGACATGTCCTCTAGCCACACTTAACTTCAGCTTCTTTCCGCTTTATTGTGCAAATGCTCAATTTGTTCTTACTCACCTTACAGCCCACTTCAGCAAGTGACATGACACATTTCAAAAGAGCTAAGATTTTTATTTTCTTTTTTTTCCCCAGTAACTTTATTGAGATCATAATGGTTTATAACATTGTGTAATTTCGGGTATACATTATTGTTTATCAATTTCTCAGTAGACTTGATCGTGCTCACCCCAAACAGTCTAATTATTGTCCATCACCATACATATGTGTCTTTTTACCCCTTTCACCCACTCCCCACCCCCCCTCCCTGCAGTAACCACTAATCGTTACTCTTTATCCATGTACTTGTTATATTCCACATATGAGTGAAATCATGCAGTGTTTTTCTTTCTCTGTCTGGCTTATTTTACTTAACAAAATACCCTCAAGGTCCATCCATGTTGTTGCAAATGGGATGATTTTGTCTTTTTTTATGGCTGAGTAGTATTCCATTGTGTATATACACCACATCTTCTTTATCCATCAAAAGATCTAAGATTTTTATTTTCTCATAGAGAGATAATATTTTACACTCCCTTTTAGCCTTTGAGGGATTGCTTTGACCACTTTATTGCTTTTTAGGAGCCATTTTTCCACAGAAACAAAGGGTGCACACAACACAAGTAGCAAACGAGCCAAACTCAAAGCAAACAATGCTCAAACCAGCAGTGCTGAGGAGTGACTGAGGATCTATGAAATGGCAGGAGGGTACAGCAAGGCATGCCTTCACATCATTTCATTTGCATGGATTCAGCATAGTACTCAGTGTGCAAATAATTCAAGTTTTGCTTTTTGGAACTTTGTAGAGTTTTTCTTTTTTTTCTTTTTGAGTATTTTTGAACCACGGTTGGTTGAATCTGTGAATGTGGAACCCACGAATACAGAGGGCCAACTGTACTGGGGATAACAGTATCATTTCCCTATGTAACCTGTCAACCACATGACAGGCCCTGAGGAAATTTAACTGCAGAGTCAGGCCCTAAGCAGGCCCTATTTACATTAAGAAGTTCTGTTCCACTAGAAAGAAACATGTCTACTAGGTAGGAAGAAGCATGTACTTTAATAAAAGAATATATTTTCTACTTACCTGAGAATAATCTGTCAGACATCCAGTGACAATCCTTTCCCCCTCTGACTTCTCCTTATGAAGACAGAAAAAGTCTTGAAAAAGACGACCTTGAGGAGAAGAAATAAAACCTGAGAACCCAGGCTGCCCCGTTTCCACACTCACAAGTCTGGAAGCCATTCCACACTGATTCTAAATGGACACACACACACACCTGCCATAAAATGCCCGAGCAGCCTGTCTCATCTGAAGTCAGAAGGGGTTTTAGGCTTTGATAAACAGGAGGAAGAGTTTAATAATCCCATTTTACAGATCGATATTAGAAGTCCAGAGAGGTAGAGCTGTTGCTTGCCAACAATGATAAAACTCATCTTATGATTAAGCAAAACCTCTCCCACAAAAATACACAATTTTACTCCTCCTTCCCAAATCCCAGGATTTAGACAACAGGATATTCTTATCTATTTAAGCCTGCTCCTAGACAGCTTAGGAGAAGGGCTGTTTAGACCCTGATCACAAGACAGGCTGTTCACCAGCTAGTTAAAGAGTATCAATAAGGACTTACCACAAGGGGAAAGATCAATGGCTGGCATCCTGTGAGTCTGATAGTGAAATCTGCATGAATACTTCTTGTTCCCAAAGTCTCTTCAAGACAGTGTCTGAATTTAGTGGATAGGTCAATCTCAATTCCTCTTGATTAAGTAGTAATCGGGAGTCTTGCCTCATACCATCAATCTTCAAGGAGCAAGCATTACTCGTCTGTCATCAAGCATCATTCATCTGTCATCAAGCATCATTCATTAGCTATCTCTCTGCAGAAGATGAAGTTATATATGTGAAAGCCAACAGAAACTGTAGAGTACTATACCACATGAATATAAACAATAACATTGCCATTTACTGAGTACTCATTATGTGCCAGAAACAGTGGTAGCTCATTATCAAAATAGTTATTATTAATGTCATTCAATAGTTGAGGCAACTAATGTTGAGACAGGAGTAGTAACAGGCCCAAGATAGCCAGTTAGGAAGCAGTGAGTCTAGGTCTGTATGCAGGTTACTCTGTCTCAAAAGCCTGAACTCCTAAGCTTAGTGTTATTCTCCAATATGACTGGAAGATGATCACGAAATGGTGTGTAAGAAATGATTAACACAGCAGATCTGGGTTGCTCAAACTCAGCACTTTCCTAAGAAAGGCCTGTCTTCAGCACCTACCTTTGGCTGGTCTTGTGGGAAATGACCTCCGAGTCCATGAAATATACTGCCTGATAAGAGTGTTTTTATATGCCAAAGAGCATGGGCCATACCATACCAGTTTGACCAGATTATTTAAGCTAACCATGTGATTGATGGTGAACACTTCTTTTTATATGCCTTAGACTTTGGGGCACATTGTATCAGTTCAAACCCTGGGGGGCTGGAGCCTGAGTGGCTGAAGTCAATCATGCAGGTGCTGCCCGGCTACATGACTGATCCCCAATAAAAACACCAAAGCTCAGGTGCTATAGACTGAATGTGTGTGCCTCCCCACCAAAATTCATATATTGAAACCTAATCCCCAATGTGATGGTATTTGGAGGCAAAGCCTTTGAGAGGTGATTAGGTCCCTTATGTGAACAAGATTAGTGCCCTTATAAAAGAGACTCTAGATAGCTCCCTTACCCCTTCTGCCATGTGAGGACACAGCAAGAAGACTATTAATCAAGAAGTGGGTCCTCATCAGACACCAAATATGCTAATGCTTTGATCTTAGTGTTCAAAGCCTCCAGAACTGTGAGAAATTTCTGTTATTTATAAGCTACCCAATCTATGATATTTTTGTTATAGCAGCCCAACAGACCAGACTAATACATCAGGTGAGCTTCCTTGGTTGGCAACGCTTTACATGTGATGTTACACATTGTTACTAGGAGAATTAAGCAATGCCCATGTGACTACACTGGGAGAGGACACCTGGAAGCTTGTGCCTGGTTTGTTCTAGAATCAGTCTCTTGTGTCTTTTCTCCCTGCTGATTCTAGTTTATTGTAATAAACCATAACCATGGGTTTAGCAGCATGAGTCCTGTGAGTCCCTCTAGTGAATTGGTCAGTGTGAGGGTGGTCTTGAGGATCCCCAACACAAATGGTTTATTGAATTCAAGTATCTTTGACAGTTTCTAGTATTCGAAGCCCTTGAGCAACTAACGGCCATCATGGGTGGTCCAGAGATTCCAGGAGGCATGAGAAGAGGTTGCCAAAGCCTTTACAGTTAAGGAGTCTCTGAGGACACTAATGGGAGTGCCTGTTTGATTTTAATTTGGAAGTAAAATTTGTAAATGAGGCATATGTTGACATCAGAACCCAAAAAGGACTAAAAGATGTTGGACTTAAGTGTCATTAATAAGCGTGTCAAATGAATCTCCATGGAGGTGGATATCATCAATGTAAAGCCACGTAGCCCAGGTTGCCTTCCTTCAAGTCCTTACATAGGCTTATGCCTTCATTTATGATGCAAATATTTATGAAGGGCCTTCTCTTTGCTACATAATACACTAGGCACTGAGGAGAGAGCAGTAAACTATAAAGAAAATGCCCCAAACCTTAGGTATCTCACATGCCAAAGGGCTAAGCACATGATAAACATATTTGTTTTTATATTTTATTTATTATACAAACACATATTTGTATTATATTAGTTGGTGGTAAGTGCTACAGAAAAGCGTAGATGAATGGATAAGGAATATTATCCTCCACCTCCCCCAAGACACACACGCATACACCCAAACATTTTTCTTTACCAACTCAAGACCAGTTCTGGGCAAGATTATGATAAGATAGGAAAACCACCATTTCAGAAAACTCTTGAAAACTGAAATCTGGCTTGCCTAAAAAGTGATCCTCAACTTTGATCCAAAGCATTAGAATAAGACCATGGTTCACAAAATAAACTCAGAATACATTTCAAATGCTGGTCTACTGCATCACAGTATCAGCTTAGAAACACTCAAATAAGAGATCTGACGCTCTCTCCTAGGTCCTCCTACCAGAGGGCATAAAATGTACAGAGTGGTGGAGTGCTAAATCAGAATTTGCCAAAGTTTATCTATTTTATAATTTTTCCAAAAAACTCACCTCTTTTTTTCATTAAATTTTGTCTTTATTTTTATTCCTTTTTCACTTATGCTTTATGTTCATTTTGTTGATCTCTTTCAAACATTTGGAAATTATAGCCGAGTTCATTTTTTAAACACTTTATTGAAGTATACATTCAAACAAGTACAGAATTACAAATGTATAGTGCATTATCATCAATTTCTATACCCCTGAAGCATTCATTATGCCTCATCTAAATCATTACTCCTCTCCCCTCCCCCAATGGAAGCAATATTCTGACTTCTAACACTATAGATTAATTTTGCTTGTTCCTTATGACAGGATGGAACCAAACCTGGGCCCTTTGATTTATCCCACCTGGAGGAGGGGTAGCCTCCCCTGTCCTCAGACTCTTACCAGATGCCATGGTGCTGGAGGATGTCACCCGTCCTCTAGACCCTGGACTGCCGAGGAAGCCCCTTTGGACTGAGTGAATAGTAATGAGAATTCATGGACTATGTGGATGGCACTGCTAACCATCATACATGATGGAGCCTGATGGAATACTGCTGCTTTCCATCCTTTAGCCATGATGTCTCTAATAAAGGCGAGGACCCAAGAAACAACACACTTTACCAAACTTCAGGGAGTCATCTTAGCACTGAATGCCCTGGACAACGAATGGCCCCATCTTCACGTTTATTATAAACTATTGGACCATTACCTAAAAATATGCATCAAAATCACACATGTCTCTACATATAACTATGGCCACAATACAAGGACTTGCCAGGATGCTCCTTATTCCCTTTGGAGTCACAGACATTTACTGGTAGTAACCAAGACACATTTCACTGCTTAGAATACAAAATGCTTGGCTCTTGCAAAAGGTATTGAACAGAACTTTCATGTCCCCGATAGGTCCCAGATAACTGAATTAGCTGAGATACATAATGGTCTCCTGAACAAATCCTTTTCAGATTCCAGTCCAACAAATAAATCCCTAAAGGTCTCTATTTTGCCCCAGGCCTTAACATATATTTGTGAGTTTTCAATCTTGCCCTCATCCCATAAGGGCTGGAGGCCAGATCGAGGGGACATACTCTCTTGGGATCTACTAACCACAGATTGTCCCAAAGACCAGGCAGCTGTTCATCTGATATGGGACCCATCTGAACTTAAACTTCCATCAAAAACCAAAAACCCTGTCAAGTACAGCTGTACACCATTCTGGTAACTGTGGACTTGTTATTATTGGTCTGGGTACTTTCAATGTTTTATAATCCAGAGGCCCAAACTCTCCAAATAAGCCATTATTTCAACTAAACATGGCAAATGTTGAGATCCACATCAACTGGAGTGGGTACCCACTTGAAAAGGACATTCTAGTTTCACACCTCCTAACATCACTCTGACCGAGGAGCTCACTGCTAGTGATGACATCACCTCAGACGACATCACTTCAGCCCAAGATCTCGCCATTGGAGATGACTTCACCCTGACACTAAAACTTGTGCCCTAGCAACCCCACGGACTGCTTCTCCTAAAGCACAAATTGGATGTAAGATATTTTTTATTTTCTTCCTTTGATATTAGGGATTCTATTATGATTCTGAGTTCCCTATCTGCTTAGCCCATGATCCAGGTATATTTCTTGCTCTCTGCCAAAACATACACCGCTACACTCCCATGCCTACAGAGAAATCTAGTAGAGGTTACTGGTATCTGTATCATTCCAAAAATTAATGAACTGTATGATTCCAACTATATGACATTCTTGAAAAGGCAAAACTATGGAGACAGTGAAAAGATCAGTGGCTGCCAGGGGTTGAGGGGAGAACAGGAAGAGCACAGAGGATTTTTAGGGCAGTGAAAATACTCTGTATGAGGCCATAATGATGGACTGGATACATGTCATTACACATTTGTCCAAACCCACAGAATGTACACCATCACGAGTGAACCATAATGTGATCTGTGGACTTTAGGTGATTATGATGTGTCAATGTTGGTTTATCAGTTATAACAAATGCAGCACTCTAGTGGCGGATGTTGATAATTGGGGAGGTTGGAGGAGGTGGGAGAGCAAGTGTCATATGAGAACTCTTTGTACCTTCCCCTGAATTTTGCTGTGAAACTAAAACTGCTCTGAAAAAATAAAGTTTTAATTTTAAAAAAGAAAAAAAAAAATTAGTACAGATTATTACTTTTCCCAGGAGACACTTGCCTCATATCAGTCAACCCCTCAACCTCCTGGGGAGAGGACCACCCACTCCCTAATGCTTTATCCTACTAACTCCTCCAACTTTCCACCATGACCTTCTGCCTCAAGACCACAATCACTCCTTCCTTCTTGGTTACACGCAGTACCACTAATCTTTACATATACTTTACGAACTTATCAGCTCATATCCTCCAATAACACAACTGCCAGACGTGCCACCCTGATCTGAGCAAATTTCTAAAACACTTTACAACTCCACCAAGATATTGTTAGGGACCACAAAAAATTTTAGATTTATTGTCTTGACTAATGCCATATAAACTGGAAACTTAATTAAGGGCTGGCCTACAAAGACTCCTTGTACTTCTACTTGTGTTCCTCCTTTCTACTATCGTGATAAAGTGTTCTCTGTGTTGTTTAAGGCAACTTATGCCTTACTCTCTAAAAATCTCCACTATCATCACCCCAAAGTT